ATTCGACTGTAATTGGTCAATTTCTTAAAGATTACGGCTTAAATCAACGGTTACGGCCTCTATAAATCAGCCTTAATGGTTTTGGGCTTAAGCGGAGAACACAGACTTTTGCATAACGCATAATATGTAAGCATAAAGGCTGATTTATAGAGGCCGTAATCGTTGATTTAAGCCGTAATCTTTAAGAAATTGACCAATCACAGTCGATTTTTCTTCTCACATTCGACTGTGATTGGTCAATTTCTTAAATATTGCGGCTTAAATCAACGGTTACGGCCTCTATAAATCAGCCTTAAGAAAACTGATTGGTCTATTTCCTTATGCACATGTGTATGGACCAATCAATTTCCTTATGCTTACGCATTATGCGTTGTGCAGAAGTGTGTGCTCCCCGCTTTAAGCACTCATAAGGTGGAAGCACATAAAATTGCAGGAGCCATAAGCAGAAGGCAGAAGCCATATGCGCATGCGCTATGGTATCTGTAGAGCTTTATAAATACCATAGCGCATGCGCATATGGCTTCTGCCTTCAGGTGCCTTTTCATGCTGACGCTCGACGCTCATTTTCAGCGGCAAGAAGGTCGCATGACCACAATTGACGCCGGCGTCAATTGAAATTCATGAAAAGGGAAACAGCGTCAAAATTTCGGCGTCTTCGCGCTGCTTTGGCTTTGACGCTTGAAGTTGGAAAAATCCAACTTCTCTTTCTTGACGCTGGCATCATAGTGATGTCACGTGACGACGCTCAACGCTGTTTTTCAGCGTCCCATGAATTGGCACCTTTCTGCTTATGGCTCCTGCAATTATGTGCTTCCACCTATACAGCCTACAACATGGCTGACCGTCACGTGATCAATTACCACTACATCAAAGAAACCGACAGTCGTAACTGTGGAGAGTGTGGAGTAATATGGTAGCTCTCAGAGCCAACATGATTGCGTCTGGTGTGATTGTAGATGTTAAAAATTTTTGTTTGTAATGTAAACAAGAAACTTACAAGTGACAGTTCCGCCAAATAACGTGTGCATCGATGAGAAGCAAACGTGCGATGAAAAGTAAAGCTGTTACGCGCGATACGTTTCTCATGTTTCGTTATCTATCATTAAATTCGACGAACACATATTTCGAGTGTGGAGTGTCGTTTGTATTGGATCGACGTTATATCATTGATTGATAGACGGTGGTGGCTATTGTCATACTTGTCGTCGTGTATTGACTTCAACGATCGCCGCGTTTACACTATGTTCGCAACTCTGAAGAACAAGATACGTGAGGAGATCGGCAGTGACGTGTCTACCGTCGTCAAGAATACTGGAAGTATACGCGGCATTAATTCCAGACACGTGTCCCAGGTAAATACAAAGTCACTGAATATCGTCAGTGCACATTTCAAGCTTTAAAGGCTGGTCTACAATACGTGGAGTAAGCCTGGAGTTAGGAGTAACACTTGGCATAAAATGCTTAAAACGATCTCGTCTAGAACGGTGAAGTAAGCGTAGAAATCACAATATAGGACTGTGTTCTAAAATACACTGCCAGCGCTGCAAAGAGTGACCGCAAAAACAGACCAAAAATAGCCTAATTCACCTCTTTTTTCACCCTTGAATTTAGACTTTTACTTGGTACTAAATGATAGTCTATAATGAGTCATGAATCCTCAGAAAGTTTCAGATTGAGCCGGCTTTGAAAAAAGAGAGGCGAGGGGACTCACTCTAATCAAGCACCCTGAAAGTGAGAGGCGAGAGGACTCACTCTAATCACATTTATACTAACATATATTTGCGTATACCTGTAAATAATCACATAACAGCGAACGAATACGTTTTTTGAACCTATTACTATATGTAAGTTTCCATTTCAACGTTTTAAAACAGCGAATACGCAACCAACTTTGACCCTCCATATTTTGAAAATAAAAAGCCGGCTCAATCTGAAACTTTCTGAGGATTCATGACTCATTGGCTGCATCCAGAAGCACGATCGCTCATTGAGCGCTCACAGGTAGCCGCTCAGTGAGCATTTTTGATGTACTGGATATATGCTCACAACAGTTTATTATACGCATTTATATGACTTATAAGTTATAGATATTTATTTGCATTTATAGTAGACATTACGTCTCTAAAGATCTGCGCAATTATTAATTTCTATTTTTACTACCTGCCACCTGTAAAAATATACAAATGCTTTATCTAAACGTTATTAGCTAGAGTAGAGATGTACCTATTCTATATTTCGCATGTTACATAATTATTAAAATTTGTAATTTTGTACAAATATAATTTTCTCTCTTTTGCAGTATATATATAAGCGTATTATGTTTTTGTGTCGTCAAGTGTATTATGCTTTCTTTACTAAAAATTAGGAATTACATAAGAAATAAATTGTTTAAAAAAATATAATTACTAGAAAAGTGCGATATAAAAATTAAAAGTATGATAAAGAACAGATCACACGTACACACGCACGCCGCGCGCACGCAAGCACGGACACACACACACACACACACAACTTTGTAGATTAGACTATATTTCAACAAATGTGTACATATAAAATAATGTTTAACTACTTAATATGTTAATTTTTTGATTATTTGCAAACAAGAATAACTTAACTTTCCAACTAAAAGATAAAAATTAACAACAGCACAAGAATAATATTAGTTATTAACTTTTAGGGATATTAAATTGGCGCGAAGATTGAAGAGAGAGCGTAAAGTGAGCTGAGTGAGCGATAGAAAACTACGCTCACGAAAGTGGCGAGCGCTCACCGTGAGCAGCTCAGAGAGCGTTTGTATCCAGTAGATAGATCTAGGGGATATACTGAGCGCTCATGTTTCTGGATGCACCCATATTGTAGTAGATGACGCTTAAGGGGATCCTGCGGTGACAGGCGAACTTCCTCGATTATTCACTCCATTCGCGTTGCTTGCACTTTTTGCACTCAGCATCTTCGCTTTCTCTCTCTCCAACGACCAAATATATATTTATCTCATTTCAAGTGCAAAAATGTTTGGGGATTTAAGCAACGCGAACAAACCTAATGTCAACCTTTCTAATTTTGTTTTCCCTATATCTGTTATATCTACGTTATTTTTAAGAGGTGTGACCACAACGGGCTAACGAAATGACATCTGTCCTTGTTTGATTGCTCGCCATCTCTCGCAAGATCCGGCAACTACTGTTGCTGCTTTTTTTGTCATTCTGCATCCGTTATTGCATTACTAAAATAATTGTTTGATGGATCTTTTTTTGTACGCATTGAATCTCACTTCTACTTGCACGATATTATTCCTACATGTTTTCCCAAGGGCAGATGATAAACATTATGTATATATAAACTGCAGAATTTTTGTTTTAAGCAAATATTGTCGTCAGGTGACAGCTGTATGTGCCCAAATAAGTAATATTTTTAATTTTTTGGTGTTTTTGATATAAAATCGCGTTTGTTACCCTAGATTTTTGCGCGGACTTTAATACTGTAAAAGATTTTTGCAATTCTATAAAGCCAATTAAAAGATCTATCGAAAAACGATAGGGTCGGTAAATCATACGGCCTCTTTATTATAGGTTATATGACACTTTTCTCAAAAAATGCTTTAATCTTATAAATTTTTTACGAATTTTAAGTCCAACAAAACACAAAATTCTTTTGGATTTTTAATTATGTACACCATTAATCCTTTACTGAACTGTAAAATGTTTGATTGAGGATCCCAATTCTATTGTAAATGGGAATGTTATTTTTAATAATTATCGTTTCACCGGTATTCACGAAGGAATTTGCAGGACGACCTCGACAACGTGACGCGGGTGTTATGATACCGCTTATTACGAAGGAAAACGAGGGTGGTGTTGAGGGGAAAAGAAGACAAGGATAGATAACGCTTATTTAATATATATTTCACTTTTACATCTCCGCGAAGTCTATTGCACGGACTTACGAATTACGAACCGATACGCCGGGATACGATTACAAAGGCATGAGCCCTCCGACGCGCGTCCGATCTCTTCGGAGATTTCCTCAGAACTCTGTCGAAGCTTCTCGCGCACTCAACTCGTCTCGAATCTTAAGCAAGAAAAATCTTTTATCGAGGCATATATGGGACGAAGGCTGGATCGGACTCAAACCACGGACCTTGGTGTCATTTGCGAAAGCCCTGAGCCACGCATCATCCCAAATTGTTTTTCGTAATAAATTCCTTGTAGGTTTATAATATACTCATAGCATCATCAGTAACGAATTGATTATCAACTCAATAATGTAATATTACATTTTCTTTAATATAAGACTGCATTGTAAGATACAATGGTAATTGGCACGTTTAACATCATAAAGATAGAATTATAAAATTCAAAAAATTATTATTAGGCATAAATTTTGCCTGATGATTGAAAATGTCGATATATATTAATTTTTTATTTACTTGCTGTAAGAGAATGAACAAGGCAATCTTATTATACAAATTTTCTAATACCAATTTTTAGTACATTATATTAATACTATTATATACATTATTATTTCAGATAGGCTCTACAAGTAGTATTAGTGATTCTCAAATATCGTTAGATGGATCCAAAGAAGAAAATACAACATCTCCTTTACCGCCTATTTCTCCAAAAAGAGAGAACAGTTTTGAGCTTAAGCTCAATGATGGAATGCAATTATCTGTAAAAGATATAAAAAGGTTTGAAAATAGAGAAGACGAATGGAAAAAGCGTTTGGCAAAGAAGGAAACAGAGATATTGAAGAGGATGGAGAAGAAGGAGGAAGAATGGAAAGTCAGACTCTTGGAAAAAGAGAAAGAATGGAAAAAAGTTGTAGAGAAACAGGAGAAGGAAAAACGACGATTAGAGGAAGAGATAAAAAAAATAGAAATGGCAAAACAGTCGCTAGAACATGCTCTTAAAAATGCAGAAGGTACTTTTAGATAATCTAATTTTTAAGGCGATGCTGGAATCATCTGTTTTATCGTCAAAATATCTTTTTCGTGTACGCGCCATTGTTTATTGGGGTTCTATAGAATTATAAATCCTTTTCCAGGATTAAAGTATACACCCAAACGGAGAAGAGACGAGTCAACTTTATATTGAGACAGAAAAAATTATATACTTCTATAACTTTTTTCTTTCTCTTCCACGTGTATACCTACTTTAATCATGGAAAAGGATTTATAATTATATAGAATTAATAAAAAATAGCATGTACGTGAAAATTAGGTTCTGTAACTCCAGCATTGTCTTAAGACATTTTAAGAGTGAATTATCTGTTTATATTTTTTGATGGAAATAAGTTTAGAATGTTTCAAAATGTCGAGAAATCACATTAGTATGTGCGTGCGTGCGTACGTGCGTGCGTGTGTGGATTTTTGTACATGCATCTATTTCTACAATTGTTTAGATACCGGGCTGAAATTTTGCACACAAATAGAGTATATCATAGAAAATATGTTCTCCTCTAATTTTCTTAAAATCCATTAAATGTTATGGATGTTTGGAGGGTTTTCATTTTTCAGAAAAATGTGTTTTACGCTGTAATTTTCTCAATATTTGAGATATGGGTCTATTTTTAATTCTATTACATTCTTCAGTCTTTTCTACCCTTATTTCATATATAATTTTTTAAGATTTGGTTAATCAGTTCTTGAGTTACAGACGTTTGAAATTTCGGAGAATCCGTACATACATAGAAGCTTTATAAAGTTTGGTCTAATCAACCAAATTTTAAAGAATTATATATGAAATAGGGGTAGAAAAGACTGAAGAATATACCTAATAGAATTAAAAATAGACCGATATCTCAAATATTGAGAAAATCCAGACAATTAAGCCAATTAAGGAAATATTTTCTAATTTTATTAATAGAAGCAATTTTTATATATTTAAAAAATTATTTTAAAGTAGAAATGAAAAACTATTGTAATAGTATAACAAATATTAGTCGCAATAAAGATTATCACAATAAAAAAAGTGTGCAAGTAGAAACTTGCACATTACTTTCTCATAGTTTTTTAAGTGTGCAAATACAAACTTGCACATTGCTTCCTTATAATTTTTAAGTGTACACATTATAAATTTGAACATTATTTTTTCACAACTTTCAAGTATGCAAATTATAAATTTGCACGTTGCTTAATCAACATTTTATTTCGCTCATAAAGGTTCCTCTATGAGGAAGCCAAATTAATAAATATATTTCCATTTAAATTTTGTAGTTATTCATAGAAATTTTTTTCGCCAGGGGCCAATAGACGTATAACAGAATCTGCTAACATAATCAGACAGCAGATTAGTGGCAGAAATCGAGCAGATTCTGCTGGAACTGTTCAGACTCTGCGCGATTTCTGCTGCCTATCTGCTCACATTGCCTGTCAGTAAGCTCTGTCTGCGAGATTTCTACTGTCAATCCTCTGTCTGATTATATTAGCAGTTTCTGCTGGCAGAACATAAGTTGAATACGGACGCAATTGATGTCAGTCTGCTGACGTGTCTGATCAAATCTGTTACCAATCTGCCGACAGACTGCTGTCATTTTGCTTACCTACTGGGTACATATACGTGGTCTGTCTAAAAAATAATGAGACTGAATTTTTTTCAACAAGTGATAACACTGTAAAAACGAGCGTGCAGTAGACCGAGAGCTCATTCATACTCTACCTTTAGTTAAAATTTTAATTTGATAACATTAACACATGTAATTCTACAATTATTTGTATAACTGGTATGTTTGAGTGACACGTCACGAAATTGGGAAAAACTCGATTAAAACTTTTAGAAAATCTTATTCAGTCTAATACAGATTGAATTGTGTTTTGAACCTGCATTTTCCATTAAAACATAATTTATACGCTCAAATCAGTTGTACTTTGTTGAACTGGAACTTATGCCAAATGTAATCGGAACCAATATAGAGATATTAAAACATATAGGACGGAATGTGAATATTTCTATCGAATTTGATTCCAAACCATAGAAACTTATTTATACTAATATTGGCATAAGTTCCAGTTCAACAAAATACAACCGATTTGAGAGTAATTATGTTTTAATGAAAAATATAGGTTCAAAAACTCAATTTAATCTTATTAGACCGAATAGGATTTTATAATCGAGTTTTTTCAGCATATATGACATATGTACCTATATAAAATCCTATATAAAATCAATAAATTTAAAATTTTTGACATGTTTAATATTTAATATAAAACAATGCCGAATTGTGTACTGTGATATGAAATAAAGAATATATTGAATGTCTGTGGTATAGATCAAAGTAATTTTTTTTGTTTGTAAAAATTTGCTTGCAACTCTGAAATAAATAGATTTTAGAGCAATAATTATTAAGATTTTTTTGTTTTGTTTGATGAAAAAACATGTTCTTAAAGTTTGATTATCTTTTTGATTATTTTTTATCAATATTCTGAATATTATCTTACTATTTTTTCTAGAATATAAAAAGAAGTTATACAGCTTTCAAGAAGATGCAGAACAACTGGAAGGTTTTCAAACACAGGAGATGGCAAAAGTTAAACATCTTGTACGTTTTATTTTAAGTAATAGTTAATACGTAAATTATAATTTCTCGTCCTTAGTCTGTTTGAGAGTTAAACAATTTATATTTGCATAGAATTTTTTATCATAAATGACAGTATAAAGAGTGAAATGACAAAAACGAAAGAGATTATTTCTCATGCAAAAATAAATTGAAATATAAAACTCTAGATATGGAATATATATATATATATATATGGGGCATTTTCCGTGAAATTAGACACCCCCCTGTCCAAAAATTGGGGTCACCTAAAAAATTCTTTCGGGGCTCATTTTATAGCTACACATATGTAGTTTTAGTTGAGTTGTGATCTTTTGAAAAATCAACATGGCGGACCCCAATATGGTGGCCGAAGTCTGCGGGTAACGAGGTACGACAGATGAAATCGTTACTTGGAAGTTATAGACTGTCATTGAAAACTGTGTTAATGTGTTTATTTAGTAGTTAGCATTGAATCCATGGAAAAAATAAATTTTTAGTTTGTCCAAAACCAATATGGCGGCCAAATTATCCGTGAAATGCTAAAAAATAACTATTTCGTTCTTTAAAACGTACAAACTGCGTTCAATTTTCATGAAAATTTATATCATGATACATTTTAAGATGTTGATCATAAATTAACAATTGGGACGTCGTATTTGAATATAACGAAACCCAATATGGCGGCTGTATATTCGAAAAATGTTAAAAAATAATGACGTCGATATTCAAATCATACAGACTTGTTTTAATTATTATTAATTTGAATGTTACGGTATTTTTTAATTGTTTTTTTTTATTTACTTTTTCAAATTTTTATGAATTTTTATTATTTTTTTATTTTTGACTATGATTTCGTTATTGCGGTGACAAAATTTGAACGTGGTTGATCAAATATGATTTTTCCAGTGAATACAGAATAATTTTTGAATAAGTAAGCATGCTTGTAGAGAGAGGCGAAAGTGGTCAATTTCACGCCAGGGCGGCCATAACGAGCGGAAAGTAACCACTTTCCTCCCTAGGGAGGAAAGTAGCAACTTTCATCCTTGTTTAGCGGGTGGAAAGTGAGCACTTTCCGCCCGCTATGGCCGCCCTGGCGTAAAATTGACCACTCTCGCCCCTCTCTAGGCATGGAAAATCGAATTTTCCGTGGAGGTGTTGTGAAAAAAGTTTTTCCCTAGGTGTCAAATCCATTTTTATGAATCCAGTTTTACAGAAGTCGAATTTTGAGTGAATCTGCTGAATTTCCAGTGATTTACAATACAGAGTGAATCGGCCGTCATATTGGATTACCATCCTGGATTTCGATCGTCGCCATTTTGGATTTTGGTTCTTTGGGATCAGATTTGTCATATACAGTCTATGAACCACCCGCACAACCATTTTCAAGTGGATCCGGTCAATTGTCAGTAGTTTGCGGTGCGTAAATGCAGTTTCTGACCACCATATTGGATTACCATCCCAAATTTCGATCACCCAGCTACTGGATTCGTGGTCAACCTACTATTACCTCTAACACAGGTCATTTTAGAGCTGTTTTAATCACGATTTTTTTCGTTTCCTAATAATTTTATTGAAGCCGTTCATGGATTTCAGATGTTTTGGTCGCCATTTTGGTACCGCTACATTGAATTCTGTAAAGTTACACACGGCTTTCGATAGCTCTTACCCATAGCTACCTCTAGGCGCAAGGTAGTTTTTCTGCGATGAAAACAATTATGGGCAGGCCGGTGGCCCGGTTGACAAATTTTGCCCCATATATTTTTTTTTTCAAAATTTATTATTTATTATAGGTATATATATTTTTCAAGATTTTTTATTTAAAAAATGAAAATTTAAAAGCAATTTTTCAATTTTTTAAATAACAAACAGTAAAGTATGACAAGATTATATTTTAAATTTCTTTTTATACAAGAAATTGTTTTTTAATTATACCTACCAAAATTTTTGCAAACTATATAATTTATATATATTATAGTAATTAATATATTTAATGCTATATATGTTATATTATACAGCTTATAGCACTTCCCGGGAAATTCTACCCCTGTTTTATATACAATTCTTTAAAATTTGATCAATTATTTCCTCAAAAATTGGTCAAACTTCTGATACCCGTTTCCAAAAAGATCGGTAACAAAAAATTATATACTTTATAGCACTTCCCGGGAAATTTAACCCCTACTTTATGTACAATTCTTTGATATTCGGTCATTTGAAACCGGTTTCCAAAAAGATCGGTAACAAAAAATAGTAACACTTTATAGCACTCCCCGGGAAATTCTACCTCTACTTCATGTATAATTCTTTAAGATTCAATCAATTATTTCCCGAAAAATTGGAAAAATTAAAAAAAATTGGTTTTCAAAAAGATCGGTAACAAAAACTGTACACATCATGGCGCTCCCCATAAAATTCTATCCCTACTTCATATACAATTCTTTAAGAATCGGTCAATAAATTCCCGAAAAATTGAAAAAATTTTAGAACCGGCTTCCAAAGAGATCGGTAACAAAAAATTATACATTTTATAGCACTCCCCGGAAAATTCCACCCCTGTTTTATATACAATTTTTTGAAATTCCGTCAATTATTTCCCGAAAAATTGAAGAAATTAAAAAAACCGGTTTCCAGAAGATCGGTAACGAAAAACTATACACCCTATAGCACTTCCCGGGAAATTCTACCCCTATTTCATATACGTTTGGTAAAAATTCGGTCCATTGGTTTCCGAGATCATCGAACACAAACAATCAAACCAACAAACTCTGTTTCTTTATAATAATAGTATAGATTAATTGAAACAAATTAGATTATAAATTTATGATGATTTTTTTTTAGTTGTTGGCCAAAGAGCAGGAAGTAGAAGAAAAAACGCATCATTTAAAAGCTGCTACAGCAGAAATAGAAAATCTAAAGACAGAAGTTTCCCGACTTAGACGATACGAAGACGAGTTAAACAACATACAGGTGAGTAGACCGATTTTCTATTTATTCAAATTTACTTTTAATTATTATTTATGATTTATTAATTTTTTTCTTGAAAGATTTATTATTTTTTTATACTTTTGCTATTTGGATAATTAAATGGTATTATTTAGACAATTATTACATTGAGATTTATGTAATCAGGGTTGAAAACCGGAGCAAAAATATGCTCTTTGGAGCGGTTTTGAACCGGTTTGAGTTAAAAACCGCTGCGAAAACCGAATGAATTTATGGAGTAAATTATTTGGAACTTGAGATGTGACCGATTGAAGTTTGTACGTTCCGAGAGAACGCTCTCTCGGAGCGTACAAATGCGTACAAACATCAACGGTTCGATTCGGTTTACAACCCTGTATGTAATTATGTGAAATATCTGAATTTTATTTCTGTTAAAAAGATATTAATTAAAAAATAACTTTCGAAAATTTCTTTGTCACATTTAAATTAAATTGTATTATGTTAAAATAATATATTTATGTATTTATATAATACATGCACATAATATTGTTGCGCTCACCGCGTCGCTCGTTCTCACACACACACTCACACTCCCGACGCTCGCGGAAATAAGGAAACACTACGGTGATTAAGGAGAACAAACTTAAGGTTTATTAAAGGCTCGCGATACAGAGGAGCGTGGACCACGTCCGCACGGTCCAGCAGCTCGAGACAAAATCTATCAGCTGTTTCATTAAATATCAATAAAATCAATAACTGGCTCGTTACTAAGGACAGGCTACATTCGACTTTCCGTTGCACGTTTCAGCTCGGTGTCGGAAAGGTATACCGGGCGGCATGCACGCAACACTGCCCCCCTTCTTCAGATTGTCGTCCCGACAATCAGGGAGGCAGTTTGCTAACTAGGGAAGCCGCTGACTGGACGGTTTCCTGCTCTCCTCGTGCTGCTGCACCGAGTTACCGAGCTCCGTCCATCCCAGCCTCCACAACAGATCCTCTCCATCGTGCGATTCCAGGATACCGGAACGGCTTCCTGCCCTACCTTGGGCTGTTGCCACAGGTTACCGGGCGCCGTCCTCTTCTTGGTCCCAACCGCACTCCGGAGCTTCTTCTTCTCATAGAGCTGGCCAGACTCTACGACGAAGATTCTGCTTGACCCCTGACTCCTGCCGCCGGTGCTCCTCTTCCCTCTTGAGCTTTGCGCGCTTGGGTCTTCTTTCTTCGGGATCAGAGGGGGAAAAACTTCCGTGGACCCATCGCTCTAAGAGCTCTCTGTCCCCTGCCCCGGCATTCGCCCTCAGTCTCACGGGAAAACCACGGTCAAAAACCGTGAGAGAGGCAGTCCAGAAAGGTTTTCCAGGAGAAGACTGAAATTCCCTTGCCGTCATGCCTTATCCGTATGCTGTTAATATTTGTAACAAAACATTTAAAAACGCAGCAAAATCGAACAAAAACTAATTAGCAATTTCCTAAAAATATTTAAGTACGGGCTCAGACTCATGTCAAATCGAATTAACACTTCCCCTAATACGAAATCGGAAAATTATTCCCTTTCCTGAAAAGGAGCCAAACGATCTGCATGAACAATTTTATTTTTACGACGAGGAGACTCTTGGATACAATACACAACATCACTAAGTCTTTTAATTATCACCCATGGTCCTACCCACGGACTCTGCAATTTCGGGGCCTTCCCCGCAATTCGTTGAGGATTATAGAGCCAGACTTTTTGTCCCGGTTCGAAAAGTACTCGTCTAGAACGTCGATCATATCAGGACTTAACGTTTTTGGATCTAATTTGTAGATGATGTCTAGCAAACTGATGGATGAGATCCAATTTGTTCCTTAAATTGGATATGTATTTTACCTCTCCGTCTTCCTCCCTTATTAACGAAGGAGGACTTCCTCTAAGAAGATCTAAAGGTAAACGTAAATCCTGTCCTAGATACATCTCCGCCGGAGTTACTCCAGTGGTTTCGTGTTTTGAAGAACGAAAAGCTAGTAGATACAAAGGAATCTATCGATCCCAATCTTTTTGACTTTCACAAATAAACTTTGCCAAATAATCTAAAATAGTACGATGCTGACGCTCGACCTGCCCATCTGATTGTGGATGGAGAGGGGTCGTACGAGTTTTTCTAATCCCCATCAGAGAGGTCATTTCTTGGAAAAGCCGGGACTCAAAGTTTCTCCCTTGGTCCGTATGCAACTCCAAAGGAACTCCGTGTCGAGAAAATACCTGATCTTGCCACTGTATTGGCTCTTTTATTTTTAAGAGGCATAGCTTCTGGCCATCTAGTAAAGCTATCGACTACCACCAGTAGATATCTATTTCCGTCTGTAGAAGTAGGCAAGGGACCTGAAATAGCCACTTGTATTCTTTCAAAAGGAGCTCCTACATTGTAGATTTGCAAAGAAGATTTTCCTTTACCGATGGGACCTTTCCTAGCAACGCAAATCTTGCAGGTAGCGCACCATCTTTCTACATCCTTTTTACAAGTGGCCCAATAAAAACGTTTCCGAATCTTCTGTAACGTTTTATTAATGCCAAAATGTCCCCCAGAAGGTGAATTATGGGCCTCGTTCAGAATTCCTTGAATCCTTTGTTTAGGCGCGACAATCTGAAGAATGTTCTTCTGTAAATTTGGGAAGAGCCATTTCTTATATAAAACACCATCAATTATTGTCAACATCTCCCAATGAGTCCAATAAATTTTTAAAGAAAATTTTTGAACCGAAAAATTTGAAAAATTTCTGAACCGGTTTCCAAAAAAATCGGTAACAAAAAATTATACACTTTATAGCATTCCCCGAGAAATATTCTACCCCTACTTCATATACAATTCTTTAAGATTTGGTCAATTAATTCCCGAAAAATTGAAAAAATTTTGGTACCGGCTTCCAAAAAGATCGGTAACGAAAAATTATACACTTTATAGTACTCCCCGGAAAATTCTATCCTTGTTTGATCTATAAATCTTTAAGATTCGGTCAATTATTTCCCGAAAAATTGTAAAAATTTCTGATACCGGTTTCCAGAAAATCGGTAACAAAAAACTATACACTTTATGGCATTCCCCGGGAAATTCTACCCCTACTTCATACACAATTTTTTGAGATTCGGTCAATTATTTCCCGAAAAATTGGAAAAATTAGAAAAATCGGTTTCCAGAAAATCGGTAGCAAAATAATATACACTTTATGGCACTCCCCGGGAAATTCTACCCCTATTTCATATACTTTTGGTAAAAATTCGGTCCACTAACAAATGAGTAGTTCGCGGTCAGACATATAGACATACAGACGACGGTACTTATATATATAGATTGTAAGCATCATTATACGATGCTTTACTGATATTTTACTTTTTCCACAGTTATAATTGAATTAAAAAATATTCATATGTGATTAAATAAGTGGTTGTTGATAGATGCTCAGAATTTACGCATTTCTTAAGCACGCTTGTTCGAAAAGGGACTTTATATTTGTATTAATGTTTTAATAATAATATTACGTCGCTTTTTGTTTTGTCACAGTTTGCCATATTTTTTTCTGCACCTTTTTTTTATCGACATGCCGCTCAAAACATGAATTCGTAACATATATGCATATTAGATACATGTGACTCTCGCTGTAGTGAAATCCGTTCAAATTGAGACTATGTGAGTTCCATAACTCTTAAATATAATGTCGAAACATCTTTTCTTGTGATATTTTGATTTATTTTTTAATCACTATGATACGTTCAATCTCTTGATTAGAAAATTTCCAAATTGATTGGTTAAATCTTGCTGATGCGTCATTTTCGCATATTATTAAGAAGAAAAGAAATGGTTTCTTCTTGGTTCAAAGATAATGGTTATTTTGCGCGAGCTAGTCTCATTTTTGAGATACGTGGATACATATCTTCCGCGTACACTCAGAGTATCGCTAAACCCAATGGATGACGTTCTCTTAGAGTTATGGAACAGCAACGTTGCTAAAAGTGATACTGAAAGTTCCGTGAACGCAACGCACGCATGAAGATTGGAAAACTTTGGTAAACGAGAGCGTCGGAGATCAGAGTTAGGCGGTTGTTTCCGCTAATTCGCTGCTACTACCGCTGATGCTAGAGGTACGTTTTAAAAGCTTTGCCGCTATCCCACTACACTAGAATGATCGTCCAATAGCCTCCATGCTTATGCCTGCTTTAACGTAAAGAAAATATATATTGGAATACAAATTCTTCTATAAAAAATATTCTATTGCATAAAGACTAAAATACAACAACCTTGCTTGATAATAACGCACATATTATACATTTAATTTAACTGCGGCACTTTCAGATACAAATTTCTATTTTCTTTCTATTTTTATTTTGTTTCTTTTTTCTACATTATATCATTTTACATTTTTATAATATTTTAATGTATTATTTAGCTCTTTATTAAGTTAGTTTTATTGCTTTATGTGTGCAAGAAATGCGAAAAGATACATAATTCATGTTTTTAGCATGTATCTGAGCCATCTCCATTCTAATTTAAACAAATTCGAGAAGCTATTGAGCGAGCGGCAGTTTCATTCCATAAGTATTGTTCTTTGTCTACCTTTTCGTATTTCTGTTTCATTTTGGGTAATCTTCTCTTGCTACTAATTTATAAATATATGAAATTCGCGCCTTTATTGCTTTGACAAAGTTTGCCAGAGGAAGGCTTTGTAAGGAAATTAAGTTAAGTAAAGTCCTAATAAAAGCCCAACGAGCGACGCCAGGTAATCATATATACGTTTTCAGGATGAAATGGAGACGATGCGTCACTCCACGCAGCGAGAGAGAGCACAGCTTTCGTGCCAGTTAGCGCAAACAGAAGAGGAGGTACGTCACTTGAAGGACAAGGTGTTCGTATTAGAGCAGAGGATCGCTCTCGAAACGAACGATCAAGTGACAGTCGATGAAAGAATAGCCGATCTGATGCGCGAGAGGACATTACTAGAGAGAAAGCTTGAAGAGGCGCATCTTCACCTCTCCGACATAAAAACCAGTTGGTCAGGCAAGATCTCCAGTCTCGAGACGCAGGTTGGCAGGCTTAGCAGACAAGCCGGCGAGGAAGGACTGGAACGCAGGCGGGTCGAACAGGAGAAAGAGAGGCTTAAACAGAGAATCAAGCAGCTAGAGACCGAGATAGAGGTGAACAACGTCGTCTTAGCGACGAAAGACGCCAAGCTTTTGCGCATGACAGAAGACATCGATGAGATGGCCATGGAACTAAAAGAGCTCCGGGCCAGCGTCGATGATGAGGTGGATGAATTTAAACGGCAAATTGTGAGTTACCGCGATATGTAGTGACGACACGAAGAATGTGCATGAGTTAGATTGTCTCCGAAAATTTTTTCCTAATTCCGATTCCAGAAAGACTTGTTTCTAGAATTGGAATAGAGAGAGATCGTCAAACAAACGATCACAATTCACAATACTGAATTGTCTGTAATATGTAAAACTCACTGTTGGCCTGAAGATTACAATCCATTTTCATTGTTATATTCCAACCTTAAAGTGCAACAATTGTACGATATAGCATATAATTTTTTATTCTGATCAAAAACTATAGTATAATACATTGATGTCTAGAAAAATCCTTCATCGACTGATTGTTTTCATTGGTTTTAATATCGGGAGAAAGAAAAAGACATATGCACGTTAGCTATATTTTTAATATGCATTTATCGACAATAGATTTAGCAACTTTAAGCGTTTTTTAATCTTTATTACAATTTGCAATATCTTAATTCTTCTTTAATATATGTCGTCGATTATCCCATTAAATTGTATAAGTTAATAAATCTTATTTTCTTTTACAGAAGAAATGCATTTACATAGTTTTTTGCAATATATTTTTCTTGTTAAAAGTTTTCCTAACATTTCATATCTTTTAAGTTTATGATCAATCAAAGTCAGCGAATATAATGGTCTAAAATAATTATAGCACGGTAGATGTCACTTAATATATATAATACAAATATACTATATGTATTAGCTTTTGGTTATTTATAATTATTCTTTTTCCTAGAGCTGGTTTAATATCGATACATATTGCAAACATATTATACATATATACTGTGCCATTATTGACTTTCAAATTTCCATAATCATTTTTAGTAGGACAAAATAATTTTAATTACATATAACTTTCAATTTGAGTATATAATGTCTATACATATATATTTTTTTATATGGAGAGAATGCACAAATGTTGACATTCAATTAATGATGTTATATCATTTTTACATTGTTTTATTTTAATATAACTAATTTTATATTAAACGTTCGTATATACAGAGTGCCCCAAAATTCCCACATGTGGAGTACAATACATAAATCTTTATGCTAAAAGAAGCAATCTTTTTTCTTTAGCAAAATTACGAACGACGAGTAGTTTTTGCAGCAGAGCAGAATACAAATGAGCGCTCTTGTCTATGTGGGGCTCAGGGCCGGCGCACGCTCTTCACTCACTTGTACCTAGTTCTTGACCTTTTTCATATTGTATTGCTTAAAATATGATAAGAGTTAACAAAATAAATGAAAAATATGTGAAAATTTTCAAAATATCAATACAGTTGTTACTAAGATTTTATATAATTATGTATTATTATAATATTTTAAAAATCAATATTTTTTAACAAATCTTTTACTTTATCTTTAATCCTGTTACGAAATAGACCAGTTTTTCGACAAGTGTTATGTAATCACTTAATTAGTAAACTATTCCTTAAGTTTATAGTGATACTATTTAACTATCGTAATTGTGTAATTAGAATAATGGAACGTTCACAAAATAATATTACTATTTTTATTTTTCTTTATTTTCAGGTACTCGAAATCAGACTATTCTGTTATTCATTTATTACGTAAAGAATAAAATCAATATTTATTTTGTTAACTTTTATATTTTAAGCAATGCAATACAGAAAGAGGTCAAGGACTAGGTACAAGCAAATGAGGAACGCGTGTTGGCTCTAAACGCCACATAGACAAAAGCACTCATTCGTTAACTGTATCCTGCTCTGCTGCAAAAATTACTTGTCCGACGTAATTTTGCTAAAGGAAAAAGGCTGCTTCTTTTAGCATAAAGATTTATGTATTGTACTCCACATGCGGAAATTTTAGGACGCTGTGTTTATATACAGGATGCATAAAAAGTATGGGAACTCCTAAATATTTCGGAAACTACACATTTTAGAAAAAAATGTTTTAGACAAAAGTTGCAGAGTTTGAAAAGATCTATTTACTGACCATACTAGAGTTTGATCTTGTCAAGGTAAAGTCATCAAAAAGTGAATACTTTAGATATTTCATATTTTATATTAAAAATATTATGACAAAATTTAAAATATTTCAGGAAATTCTTAACAAAAGAGAGCTTTGTTATGGTATTATAATATATTTTGGAAATGTCTCGACACCAAAAGCTACAAGAATATGCAATAAAAAATAGGGGTCTAATTTAAAAAATTCAAAGTAACTTTGACTTGATCTTAACGACGCCACTTAAGATCAAACTAATATGATCTAGTCTAAATAGATCTTAAACTCTACAACTTTTATCTAAAACATTTTTTTCAAAAATGCGTAGTTTACGAGGAGTTTTTAGGGGTAGATAGGGGTTTCCATATTATTTGTACACCCTGTATACATATATAAAATCTTAATTATTCAATATATCTATTTTTATATTGTTGAAAGCGATTAAAATAAAAATCTTATACACATCACTATTTCTACATAATTAAAATATATCAAATTGAACGCTTGTAATATTTCATGCGCGCATTTGTGCCATTATACTATATAAATTTGATAAGAAATAGAATGCGTCTTATCTCGCACCTTACAATTAGTATTACATGCAAAAACTATATTGATGTATTATTGCATGCTATTCTGAAGTTTAATACTTCTTGCTTGACGCACATTTTGTCTTTTAATCTGTAGAGCACGCGCCTTTATTATAAATCCTTTAGTTTTGCTTTTACGATATTGTTATTTGAAGCATGTTAAGAATTAGGTACTCGAATGCGTTTTAGAAAGATGAATATTAAAAAATGTATAAGCCGTTTATGCAACCGATACTCATCAGTATCGAGAATAATATATCTCTCTTATATTGTTATGCCGAGAGAGAGAGAGAGAGAGTGAGTTAGAGTGCGCTCGCCTGCGTGCAAACTATGTACGTTTTATTTAATGAAATAAAAAAGAAACACATATATTTTCTTTTACTTCTCACCTACTTTTTATTCTTTTTTATCACTTTTTGTTCCTGAGCGATTCCATTACAATTTCACAGAATTTAAAAGAACGTTATTTCGAGATTTTTGTACAAGTGAGGAAATTCAATTTTGAGATAAAAATTTATTTTTTTACACACGTGCACACACGCTTACACACGCACGCACACAAGCACGCACGCGCAAGCACACACACACACACACACACACGAACGCGCGCGTACACATACATAAAACATCCGCATTCGGTTCTCTGAACTTATTTTTGCAGTATTTTCTATTACATCGATAAATGTTACTTGAGCAGTTAATAAATAAAGATATTCTCAAATTTTAGAAACATAGATATGTAGTATTTATAAAAATAAAAAAGTTTTACTAAACAATTGAAAAATTATTCATGTCAGCGTTATAAATCACAACTTTTATAAACAAATATAAAATAGTTTCATTTCTCTTTTTTTTTACAGCAATACATCCATTTATTTCAAAATTTCAATTCAACATGCTCTTTTCATTGGAGGTCGAAAAAAGATTCAAAGATGATTCTGTTCAAATTTTCAATTTTTGTTACGTTAATAATAGTTCGTAATTCTCTGTGTTAATTCAGCCGAGAAATCAACTAATGGTGACATATATCAGATGCTTCAATATCGCTATTTAGCAAAAGTCTAATTGTAAGAATTAGATCCAGTGAACAAAGTAGCTAGTATGTAATTAAACTGTAATAGTCTTATTCACCTTTCATGAATATAATTATGCAAATATTATCTAAAGGCCTCCGCATAATAAAAAATATAATAAGAAACAAGGAACAGATATTAGCGATTAGGACTAAGGAATCAGGAATAAA